TTCCTGCTCCTGCTTCTGCTGATCGTCCTTCTTCCTCATCGTTCTCCTACTCCTCTTTCTGCTCATCCGCCTCTCCCTCCTCCAATGTACAGCCCTCCCCTTTAGTTTGCGCATCGCACGATGGGGCCATTTTGGGTATAACGGTCCTTTAGGACACCCCAGTCGGCGGATACAAAATAATTCAGAACAATTGGAAGGGATTGTTTGAAGGGGTAGGACCCAAGGGCCACAAGAGAGCCCAAGATGGCCGCAGACGGAGCCGTAGCCATTTTGGCTCAAAGCTCAAGCGGCGCGAGCCAGACCTACCAGGTTCTATGCGAATCGCGAGGTCCAATGTAGGTTTTGGTTCATACCAGACCCGTCCTCACTTGCGAGAGACGAGGTGTGATGCCGATCATGGCCGAACACGTCAAACGCATCGTGGCCGTCACTCGGTGTCCCTCTTTTTCTTGCAGGAGAGAGGTTCACGGTCAAGCTCGTCACCAGGCCAGTCTCGCTCGTGAGCCGCCAGGAGAGGGACGAGCTGGCCAAGGAGCTGCTCGCTTCGAGCCAGAAGGTGTCTGCCCTCAAGGAGGAGCACGCCATCTAGGGCGCGGAGGCGAGTGCGAGCATGGGTGGGAGTCGCAGGCTCCGCGTCGACAACGAGGCCCGCCAGCAGGAGCACGATGCCGACCACATTTGGGGAGTCAAGTGTGCCCAGTTTTGTCGCTTCAGTGGCCAGTCGTCCTCGCCCTCGCAGGGCCGGGCGGTGTACACGTGGTCCCGATGTTCGGCGTGCCGCGAGCCAGGTGGCATGCCTTGGCTGCCTGACCCGAGTCTGCCCAATCAGCACATTCACGGCCATGTCGTTGCGAGAATAAGACCGACTACAACCATTTCGGATTGTTCAGGAACTACTTCGGTCAGTTTTCATCCACTGGAAACGGACTGATCGCAACCTGAAGGATTCCTACACAAATCTTTATGGAGAACACCGGATTGCAGCCGATCCAAGAGCTTCCGCAGAGCTCCTGCAGAGCTTCTGCAGAGCTTCCGCAGAGCTTCTGCAAAGCTTCTGCAGAGCTTCTGCAGCGCTTCTGAAGAGCTTCTGCAGAGCTTCCGAGGAGTTTTTGGAGAGCTTCCGAAGAGCTTCTACCACCACACCACCACCACCACCACCACCACCACCACCACCACCACCACCACCACCACCACCACCACCACCACCACCACCACTACTACTACTACTACTACTACTACTACTACTAGTACTAGTACTAGTACTAGTACTAGTACTAGTACTAGTACTAGTACTCCTACTACTACTACTACTACTGCGTTCTACTGCTACTACTACTGGTACTACTGCTACTACTGCTACTACTACTACTACTATTACGACTACTACTACTACAAGTACAACAACAACTACTACTACTACGACTACTACGACTACTACTACTACTGCCTTCTACTGTTACTGCTACTTCTACTACTGCTGCGACTGCTACCGCTATTAAAACAACTACCACTACTATCTTTACTACTACTACTACTACTACCACTACTACTACTGCCTTCTACTGCTACTACTACTACTGGTACTACTGCTACTACTGCTACTACTACTACTGCTACTGCTGCTACTGCTGCTGCTACTACTATTGCCGCTACTACTACTACTACTGCTACTACTAGTACTAGTACTAGTACTAGTTCTAGTAGTAGTAGTAGTAGTAGTAGTAGTAGTAATACTACTGCTGCTGCTGCTACTACTACTACTACTGCTACTTCTACTACTACTACTACTACTACTACGACTACGACTACGACTACGACTACTACTACTACTACTCCTACTACTACGACTACTACTACTATTACGACGACTACTACTACTACTGCGACTACTACTACGACTACTACTACAACTACTATTGATACTACTGCTACTACTACTACTACTACGACTACTACTACTACAACAGCTACTACTACGACTACTACTACTACTACTACTACTACTACTACTACTACTACTACCACTACTACTACTACTACTACTACTACTTCTACTACGACTACTGCGACTACTACTACTACTACTACTACTACTACTACTATGACCTTCTACTGTTACTGCTACTTCTACTACTGCTACTACTGCTACTGCTACTACTACTTCTATCACTACTTTTACTACTATTACTACTACTAGTACTACTACTACTACTACTGCGTTCTACTGCTACTACTACTGGTACTACTGCTACTACTGCTACTACTACTACTGCTACTGCTGCTGCTCTTGCTGCTGCCACTGCTACTACTGCTCCTTCTACGACTACTACTGCTACTACTAGTACTAGTAGTAGTAGTAGGAGTAGTAGTAGTAGTAGTACTAATACTGCTGCTGCTGTTATTACTACTACTACTGCTATTACAACTACTACGACTGCTACTACTACGACGACTACTACTATTACTACTATGACTACGACTACTACTACTACTACTACTGCTACTACTACTACTACGACTACGACGACGACGACTACTACTACTACTACTACTACGACTGTACTACTACTACTACTACTTACTACTACTACTACTACTACTACTACTACTACTACTACTACTACTACTACTACTACTACTACTACTACTACTACTACTACTACTACTACTACTACTACTACTACTACTATACTGCTACTACTACTACTACTACTACTACTACTACTACTACTACTACTACTACTACTACTACTACTACTACTACTACTTACTACTACTACTACTACTACTACTACTACTACTACTACTACTACTACTACTACTACTACTACTACTACTACTACTACTACTACTGGTACGACTACTACTAGTACTACTACTACTACTACTACTACTACTACTACTGCTGCTGCTGCTACTACTACTACTACTACTACTACTACTACTTACTACTACTATTGCTACTACTGCTACTACTGCTACTACTACTATTACTAGGGTCGGCCTCCCGTTGTTTGCGCCCTGGAGGGGCTTGGGGCTCTTCGAAATTTTCCGGAATTCATGCAATTCCTATGCGCTCGCAGGAACTCTTAGGGTTCGATGGGATTTGATTCTTAGGCTTGTGGATTGGTAGGGTTTGTAAGAATTTTCAGGATACCTCACGAGATCCTCACAATAATCTGGGAAGGGTACCTGGGAATTCTTAGGATTCCCTAAGAGGCCTTCTCAGGAATCTGGAAATTGGTGGAATGCTCAGGAGTCCATAGGATTGCTTAGGAGGCCCTCTCAGGAATCTGGGAATTGGTGGGATCCCGTGGAATTCCTAGGATTCCCTTGGAGGCCTCCGTAGGGATCTCGAGGAATTCACCAGATTCCTTGGGAGGCCCTTCCAGGAATCTGGGCAGCTGGTCGGATCCATTGGGATTCCTAGGTATCCTGAAGAGGCCTCTGCAGGAATCTTGGCAATTAGTAGAATCCATGGGAATTCTTAGGTCTCCCTAGGCAGCCCTCTCAGGAACCTGGGAATTGTAGGATCCCTCGAAATTTTTAGGACTCCCTAGGAGGCCCTCTCGGGGATCTAGCACTTGGTAGGGTCCTAGGACTTCCTTGGGAATTGGTAGGAGCCCTAGGAATTCCTAGGATCCCCTGAGCAGCCCTCTCAGGAATCTGGTGATTTGTAGGATCCCCCGGAATGTGTAGGATTCCCGAGGAGGCCTTTTCAGGAATCTGGCAATGGGTAGCATCCTTAGGAATTCTTAGGATTGCCTAGGAGGCCCTCTCAGGATCCCGGCAGTTGGTAGGATCCCTTGGAAGTCTCCTCGTTCTAAGAGGACCTCCCAGGAATCTGAGCAATTTGTGGGATCCCGTCGCATTCCTCGGATTGCGTAGGAGGCTTTCTTAGGAATCGGGCAATTGATAGGATCCTTGCGAATTCTTGTGGTTCCTTCGGAGGCCCTTCCACGCATCTGAACAATTAGTAGGATCCTTGGGAATTCCTAGGATTGCCTAGGCGGCCCTCACAGGCATCTTGAATTCTTAGGATCCTGAGGGATTCCTACGATTCCTTCAGAGGCCCTCTCAGGAATCTGGGAATTTGTAGGATCCCTGGAAATTCCTGGGGCTCTTTAGGAGGCCCTCCCGGGAATCTGGGAAGTGGTCGAATCCGTTAGAAGTTTTAGAATTCCTTAGAATCCTTCTCCGGAGTCTGGTAATTGGTAGGATCCCGTGGAATTTCCAGGATTCCCTAGGAGGCCCTCCCAGGAATCTGGGAATAGGTAGGATCCGTAGGAATTCTCCAGATTTCCGAAAAGACCTTCTTAGGATTCTGGCGAACTCCTCAGACGAATCACGTTGGAATCGTATACGAATCACATCGGAATCGTATACGAAGCACATAGGAATCGTATACGAGTCGCATCGAAATTGTGTACGAAATACATAGAAATCGGATACGGGTCATGGCCACGTTGAAGCTCAAGTAAATTTGTTTAGCGGAAATCATGTCTGGCCGTCGGTGATCGGACCGATCGCAACCGTTTTTTTAGATTCCCATTGGGCGGCTCCAGGGAGTTGACTGCACCCAGAAGCGCTTTCATGATCTCTCCCTTAATCGAAAGCTTATTGAATTGACCTACGGACCGATCGCAACTGGTTGTGATTAGTTCGAAGTTGTCGACGATCGGTCCGAAATGGTTGCGATCGGTCTCCATCGCATGTCGTTGTCCTTGCGAGAGTGTGGTCTCGCAGCGCCTGGTGTCCATGATGCGATAGGTTGATTTGGGCTTGTGGGACGACCGTGGTGTGGCATTGTGTGTGTCTTTACAGTCTGTCTGTTGTTCCCCTCAAGGTGTTTCCTTTCTTTCCGGGCATTCTCCTCCCCCGTATCGTCCCCGCATCCCCTCATCTTCTTCCTTCCTTGAGCACGTTCTTGAAGTTCTCAGAGCTTCCAGAGCCATGCGTCCGTCCCAACTCGTGCGAGTATCGCGTGGTTGTAGGAGTGGATTTTCGACCTCGCGTCTGCGCCTTCGTGTCCAGGGCCACGAGGGTACGTCTGAGCTGCGAAGGAGCATGCTATCAGCGGCGAACGGAAGCGGTTTGGGAATGTCGAACGGAATCCATCGGTGCTTTGGTCGTCATCTTGAATTTTTGTTCGAAGGCATCGGTCGCTACCGTCTCAGTGGCTGCCGTGATGCCCGGCGCGTCGCTGGCCGAGTGGCACGTCCTATGTCTGACTCGAGGCTGTCCCACAGGACTGCGTGCCCGCCTGGTCTGGAGGCGCACTGGATAGCGCGAGGCTTGACGCTGGTCGGGGCTCCCCTCTCCGAGCACCGCAGCCGCGGGAGCTCCCGCGCCCGTGCGAATGGCGCCGGGCGGGCCAGGGCGGGGTTGGCTATGCAATGGGGGGGCGCCGGGGACGCCGCGAGACGGGCCGCCGGGCTGCTTTCGAAGGTCTCCGAGCTGCCCTCTCTGTCACACTTGCGGCCGCCCCGCAGCCATTGCTATTGTGTGGCCTCAGAGCAGATGGCGCCGAAATGCGGACTGTTCAGCGCCCGTCGGGTCGGACGTGGTTTTGCAGCGTGCTTGCGGAGAGGCAGTGCACAGGCACCGAGAAGTCGCGGAGGTTGATCGACCTCCTACCCTGACACGTCGATTCGCGAATTGGCCGTTTTCGGCTCGCGGGGGCGGGTCGCGGCCGTCATTTTTGCGGGTCCAGATCCGTCGGTTTCGGTCTTGGGCCGTTTTCACCAAAGGGAGTTTTACTAAACGGAGTTTTGCCCACCGCCGAAATACAAAAAGGGAGGGCCGCAGGAGAGGTCTCTAGGAGGGGCTCTCTCGGCAACCTCGTTTGAGCAGGTAGAGATCAGCTCGATCTATCAGTGTGTAATTCCCCTCCAGTTTTCCATTTTTTCAGTGATGACCAGCACGCGACAAAAACCAACCTGAAACGAGCGAGTTCGTAGAATTCCTTAGACTTCCCACTTCGCCCTCCCCCTCGGACGCCTTCGAGCTCGTTGCGTTCCCGTGCTGCTGGGCGCGAGGATCTCGTCCAGCTTCTTGTTTTGCTTTGCTACGCTTGGCCTCGGATGGCCCAGTCACAAGGGCAACGTCTTGTTGTGAGCTTCGCGACGGCACCGACCTCGACGTTGACGACGACGTCGTTGTCGACGTCGTCGACGTGACGACGGCGACGCCGCCGACGATGACGACATCGACGACCAGGGTCGGCCACCATGCCCATTTGTGGAAGTGTAGGTATACGGAGCGGGAGGAGAGGGAAGCGGGAACGATATAGAGAATAGCGCATACGGAAGTTTATCCCAACCATCCTGTTGTGATGGGTCCTCGTCTTGAAGAAACGGTCCCCGCGTCTCCTTCTCCTCCCTCCTCCTCCTCCCCCTCCTCTCTCCTCCATGTGTTTCACCCACCCAGTACAGCGTTTCGTGGACCCATAGGGAGTTCCACCGAAGGCCCCAGTGGGGGGTACCACATGTGTCCACCACACCCAGTACAGCGTTTCGTGGCCTCATAGGGAGTTCCACCGCAGGCCCCAGTGGGGGGTACCACGTGCATTCGCCACACCCGGTACCGCGCTTCGTGGCCCGACAGGGAACTCCACCGAAGGCCCCAGTGGGGGGTACCACATGCGTCCGCCACACCCATTACAGCGCTTCGTGGCCCCGTAGGGAGCTCCACCTAAGGCCCCAGTGAAGGGTACCACATGCGTCCGCCACACCCATTGCAGCGTTTCGTGGCCCCATAGGGAGCTTCATCGGAGGCCGCAGTAGGGGTGGCCACATGCGTCCGCTGCACCCGGTACAGCGTTTCGTGGCCAATGGGACCGCCCGCAAGCGTCCCGCACGCGCAATTTGACATTTTCACCCACCCAGTACAGCGTTTCGTGGTCCCATAGGAGGCTTCACCGAACCCCCCAGTGGGACCGTCCGCATTCGTCCCGCACACCCAATTTGGCATTTTCACCTACCCAGTATAGCGTTTCGTGTCCCCAATGTGGGACTCCACCGAAGCCCCCAGTGGGATCGCCCACATGCGTGCTGCACGCCCAATTTGGCAGTTTCACCCACCCAGTACAGCGTTTCGTGGCCTCATAGGAAGCTTCACCGAAGCCCCCAGTAGGACCGTCCGCATGCGTCCCGCACACCCACCCAATTTGGCATTTTCACCCACCCAGTATAACGTTTCGTGGCCCCAATAGGGTACTCCACCGAAGCCCCCAGTGGGACCGTCCGCATGCGTCCCACACGCCCAATTTGGCATTTTCACCCACCCACTACAGCGTTTCTGGACCCCCTAGGGAGCTCCACCGACGGCCCCAGTGCTACTGCCCGCATGCGTTCCCCCCCACTCAGTGCAGCGCTTCGTGGCCCCATGGGGAGCTTAACAGAAGAAGACATTCACAGTTGCGGTACCCACAATTGCTTATGGTTGGGTCCTTCGCCAGGATAATTTTTTGGTGCCTTTGTGGAAGCAGGGTGCGACTTGCAGATAATGTGTGAGTTTCAAGTAGGGGCAATTTCCGAATGACAAGTGTGAAACTGGTTAGCCGCTTGAAACATCAAGTTGGAAGAGCGACCGTGGCATTGGGGTGCCTTAGTATTCACTTCACGAGGAAGGACTTGCGCACCTCCGCGAAGTGCGGTGCCATATTCTGCCATTTCTTCGGATTCTCACAGTTAATTGGATTGCCCATCTAAGACTGGGTGGAGCGGTGGGTGCGAATTTGCGCACGGGTGCAGGGTCTGGGAGGCGTGGTTGAGCACTCCAACGCTGTCATATCTGGAGGGCATTGTCAATCAGAGGTCCAGATGAACTGGCAGGACACTGTCATCTTTCAGCTCTCGGGCATGGACCGCTAGGGTGTGGGCCTGCACGACGTGCCTGCTTGGTCTGCACGTTAGTCGTCGTTGTCCGTCGCTCCAGCGCTGCAATTCCTGGCGCACTGGGTGCCGGTCGAGGGAAGAAACATGCTGACCATGATCAATATGTCGCGGGATCATGTCGACGCCGATTTTGGTCATGGTCCTTGCATGCCGTCGCCGATTCGCGGGAGATATCCACGAATCGATGGTGACCAAGATGGACGGTAACCAAGATCGGCACCGACGTTTCCGTGTTCAGTCTTGGTCATGGTCTCCGCTTTCTCTCCTTCGAGTCGAGCATAGCCAGGCAAGCTGGTCTTGAGCTTTGATTTGCTTGCCGCACGCACAGCACGTGGGGCATGCAAACCAGGCGTGTATGAAGGGCGCACCTGCCGTCTCTAATCTTCCAGGGGATCGGGTGTGGTGTGCGAGACTTCTCGGCGTTGGTGTTCTGCCCGCATGCTCCTGTCGTCAAGGATGCCGAGACAGCCATGTGGACTTCAGCGCTCGCATTGCAGGTTAACCGCCCCCTCAGCGAGTCAGCGACCAACTGGGAGAGTTTGGGCCACGAGGTATCAGCACGCACGGGAGCATTCCCAGCTCGATTTCCCTGGGTCTTTGGTGCTGCCTCGCCCCTGCACGCGCCCGAGGAAGGCTCGTGCGTGGGGATGTGGGCTGATAGGCTCTTGCCGGAGTGCTGCGGTGCCCTCGCGTTCTCATGTCACTTCGTGCTGGCGTCGGCATGTATTTGCCTCCTCTCGTGTGCATGTGTCTGTGCTTCGATGTTCTCGTCGCGGTCATGTCGCCGATGGGCTGTCTCAGGCAGCAACGTCGTGTGGGGGTTCTATTGGGACCAGCGGATAGTCCAATGCGACGGCTCACGAACATGAGCACACCGGAGGTCTGTTGCTCCAGGCTGTCAAGCTCATGTCTCCTGATGTTGGACGAGGACGTCAGTAATTCCTCACGGTTGGGACCGCTGTGTACCGATCGACTGTATTTCGTTGTGCATTCCGCGTCTCATTTTATCATGCACATCGGCTCAACGCGTATGCTCGAAAATCGCAGCCTCGTTGATTTCTCATTCTCTGACCGTTGCTCTCTCTGGCCCTCCGTACTGGGCAGGACGAGATCATCGTTTTCCCTCCCAACTGCACAGCCGTCACATCGGAGATCCCGTTGCGAGACAGCGTCCACACGTGGGCGATGTGCCGTTGTGAGTTGCTCCTCGCTCGTCCAGCCTCTCCCCATCCACACTGGAAACCAGGCAGTGGATGTGAACATCCTCTGATCACGACGCAAGACGTACAAGGCCTGACGACCCGAGTGCAGAATTGAATATTGACATTTATTTTGGTTTGTGCAGCCGTTGCCAGTGTTGGAATGGCCTCCGGCCAGTGCCGCCGATCCCGTGGCGTTTCTGTTTCTTGCGCTTTTCGTTTTTTCCTTGGAGGAGGAGGAGCAGGATGAGAAGGAGAAGGGGTGAGGAAGAGGATGAGGAAGAGGAGGAGGGAGGAGGAGGAGAAGCAGGAGGAGGAAGAGGCTTGTGAAGAGGGAAAATCGTCGCGCCACCTCTCTGGCTCGAAGCCAGCTGTGTCTTCGCAGGCGAGCTCGCACCAGCTTCCGGTCCCACGTGCCAGCCACTGCGCTTGCGCGGTCTTTTCCTTCCTTCCGCATTTGTGCTGCACCTACGTCTCCAGCTCCTGGCCCAGGTGTCATGGCACTAACATCGCAGAGCGGATTTCGTTCGGAAAACGATAGGGTGGGCCTAGGGTGTCCTGGAGAATTTCGTTCCGGATTTCGAGGTGAATTTCGTGCGGGCTTGTTTTTGGGCCAGGAATGACGACCCCAAAAAGTCCACGCGAAATTCACTTCGTTTTTCGCTCGCCGTTTCGGGAAACAAACACGCCGAAATCCACGCAGAAATCCGCTGCAGCACGTCTGCAAGGCCGGTGCAATGACAGGTGTATTGCCTGGTCTGGCGCACGCGTGGTTGCATGATGATGCGGCTTGTGGTGCAGCCGTGCGCATCTCAGCCCTCCTCCTCTGCCTCCTGAGATGTCGCCTCCGCTTCCCGTCGTGCTCTGCCCGCCCGCTGCTCTCCTCTCAGGTGATGAAGAATCAGAAGGAGGATGACGTCAAGGTGCCCTTCTACCACATACGACTACGCGCTGGAGAGGCACGAGTGGCGCGGGTCAGCGAAAGCGCTGCACATGATGAGAGTAGTTTGCGTGACACGATGTGATCGATGAAAACAACCAGGATCCATAATTACCGCCGACAGGGTATTCATATTTTTCTGCGTGCGTATAACACACGGCGCTTTCCGCACCACAACCCGCCACCTCTCACCGCTACCACCACCAGTAACTCGACAGCGCATTCGAGTACGCTGCGCCTGTGGATCAGAGTCCGAACAACCAGTAAGCCCTCGACAATCACCACCGAAAGCACCAGATTTCGTAAACCACATTATGCTGTGTCGTTTTTCCCTTGCCAGGTGTTCCATTCACGCCCGCCGTCCCACTCACGGCCATCGTCCAGCCCGCCTGTCGGCTGGGGTTTCGCATCTCGACTCGCAGTTGTAACCATTTGTTTCTGTGTCCCGCTTCCTTGGAAATACTGTGACCAGTGTTTCCTCAAGCGCCGTTTGGCGAGGCTCGCTTTGGAAACAAGTGGATCGCCTGAGCAGCACTGGGTCACACGGAGGCGAAGACGGCCCGAGAAGGAACGAGCAGCTACCGAGAACCTGCTCCTGCAAGCCGAGGAGAGCCCCGACAAGCTGCCGAGACGGCCGCAGAGCGGCCTGACGAACATCCAGCAACCGCTGACTTTGGCGCAGAAAGAGCGCCAGGGGGCCCCAAGAGGGGCCCGAAAAGTGACCAGGATTGGTCGAGTGCGGCGGAGTGGTTTGAACTATGGAAGGGGGGAAGGGAAACAAAAACATCCCGACTTAGTTTGTGGCTCCCGGAGAGGCTTCCGGAGGCTCTCTTGGGGCGCCCCTGACGACCGAGAAAGCTTCCCAGAAGGCGCCAGCTCGGGGGCGGCCCGAGTGGCAGTCAGGACGGCCGCAGAGAGTTTCCGCAGATTTCATTCCAAGATGGAAGGAGGAAGGAGCCTGGGGAGATGCACAGGAGCTCCAAGAGAGGCGCCAGGAGGAGCCCGAGACGGATGGAATCATCAAATTCTGATGTGTTTTACTTGGTTTTTGCTCATCGGGGTTCGCAGGTGCTCTGAACCCGAAAGAAGGTGGAGAGGCATCCAGAACGTGGCCGTGATGACCAGCAAAATGAGCCCAGCCCCGAGAGGCCCTCAAAAATCGGCTTGGGAGGCTCCGGAGAGGTTTCTGAGATGGCCTGGCGGCGACCAGAAAGGAAGCACCTAAAATGTGGGCCGTTTTGGGGCGGAGATGGTGGCCAGAGGGCGAAATCCTGGGGGCATCTTGGGCCGGGGGCACTTCTACCAACACCCGAACCTTGCCGGGACCTTGCCGGGGTACCCTTCGTCCGGGGATATCCCCAGGTGCGACTCCGCGCGCGCGCGAGCCAGAAGTGTCCTGAAACTGCTGCCGGGGATCCTAGCACGCCCCTGGCCTCCTGGGCCGGCGAATTACAGTGATGCGGCGATGGCGCGCTGGCGACGCTGTACGAACCAACCGTATCGTATGTGTCTGCTGTGCCGCTCAAGCCGGCGGCGCTTTATCCCCACGGCGTGCGCCAGGATTAGTCACCACCTACCAAACCACCCCAACCAAACCCGAAGGCTTCAATTTGCCCTCCATTTCCAGTGGGGGGGGGTCGGGGAACACTGAAAAAACACATGGAACCCGTACCCACCCCAACCCGAAATTCGGGTCAAATTCGGGTCTTCGGGTTGGGTTGGGGTGGTTTGGTAGGTAGTCAGGTACGCACTCGCCTCCACCCTTTGTCCCTTCCTTTTCCACCCCCTGCCTCCCACCGCCTCGTCTCCCCGGTGCTTTCCATCCCCTGCCTCCTTTCCAGTTGTCATGGCACCCCCTGCCAGCCGAAGAGGTACGTGGCCGAACGACAATCTGTGACCGAAAACGTGCCCGAAGTTGTGACCGAGAACGTTGTGTGACCGAAGATGCGACCGAAGGTGAAAAACATCTTGGCCTCGAGCCAAGCACTTCGGTCACACCCGGGCGCGGTTGGAAATTCTCGGGCGCAGGTTTCGGTCACACCCGGGCAGATATTTGGGCACAGTTTCGGTCACGACGTCTCCTTGATAGAGATGAGGCGACGTGGCAATTTCCTCCCTCGCTCCTCGCCCCCCCCCCTTCCCCCCTCGCCTCAGCCCCCCGCCCAGTGACGTCTCTGGCCGCGCGCCCTGGCCGCACGGGCCCTCCTGCGCCCAGCGCCGTTCGCTTTCGCCCTCCGGGCGGGAGGCCGTGGTCATACCCAGCATGGCCGTGCACGTCGTGAAGGCTGCGGCGGCGCATGTCGGGGTCGCGCTTGCAAAGGATGCTGCTGCTGCTGATGATGATAGTGGTGGTGTTGTTTTGATGGTGATGATGATGCTGATGATGATGACGAGGACGATGATAGTGGTGGTGCTGCTGCTGCTGATGATGATGGGGGTGGTAATGATGAGGATAATTATGCTGGTGATGGCGAGGAGGACGATGCTGCTGCTGCTGATGATGATTATGATCTGGTGATGATGACGATGCTGCTGATGATGGTGGTGGTAATGACGATGATGCTGCTGCTGATGATAATTCTGATGACTAGGGTCATGATAATGATGATGATGCTGCTGATGATGATGATATTGATGATGACGATTATGATGATGCTGCTGCTGATGATGACCATGATGGTAATAGTGGCGGTGATGCTGCTGATGACGGTGGTGGTAATGATGACGATGATTCTGATGATGGTGAGGAGGATGAAGTTGCTGCTGATGATGGTTATGATCTGGTGATGATGCTGCTGTTGATGATGGTCGTCATGATGATGATGATCATCATAATGAGGATGATGAGGATGATGTCGGTGATGTTGTTGTCGATGATGATGCTGATGATGATGATGGTGATGATGATGAGGATGTTGCTGCTGATGGTGCCGACGATGGTGGTGATGCTTATGCTTCTGATGATGGTTATGACGATGATGATGGTGATGATGTTGATGATGCTGCTGATGCTGATGCTGAGGCTGCTGTTGCTGTTGCTGTTGCTGTTGCTGTTGCTGCTGCTGATGGTGATGAGGATGAGGATGAGGTTGAGGATGGCGATGATAATGAAGATGATCATGATCACGATGCTGCTGCTACTGATGATGATGACGATGATGATGATGATTATGATTCTAATGATGATGGTGGTGATGTTGCTGATGATGATGATGCTGATGATGATGATGATGGTGATGCTGATACTGATGATGCTGATGTTGATGATGATGCGGAGACTGATGATGATGCTGCTGATGATGATGAGGACGATAATGCTAATGGTGATGATGATGACGACGATGGCGATGCGGATGATGCTGATGATGATGAGGGTGATGAGGGTGATGATGATGTTGATGATGATGACGATGATGATGATGATGATGATGATGATGATGATGAGGTTGACGACGACAATGCTGATGACGATGATGATGCTGCTGATGATACTGATGGTTGTGATGGTGGTGGTGCGATGATGATCATGGTGATGATGACGATGCTGATGATGATGGTGCTGCTGATGATGATGATGCTGATGCTGCTGATGATGATGCTGATGCTGCTGCTGCTGACGATGCTGACGATGATGATAATGACGAGGATGATACTGATGCTGTTTATGATGATGATGCTGCCGCTGATGATGATGTGGAGGAGATGATGATGATGATGATGATGATGATGATGATGATGATGATGATGATGATGATGATGATGCTGATTATGATGATGATGATGAGGATGATGATGCTGATGCTGATGCTGATGATGATGTTGATAGTGATGATGATGATCGTGATGATGATGCTGATGATGATGATGCTGATGCTGATGCTGATGTTGATGCTGATGTTGATGATGCTGATGCTGCTGATGATGTTGATGATGAGGATGATGATGATGCTGATGATGGTGATGATGATGATGATGATAATGCTGATGATGACGATGCTGCTGATGCTGATGATGATGATGACGATGATGATGATGATGATGATGATGATGCTGATGCTGATGCTGATGATGATGATGATGATGATGATGATGATGATGAGGATGAGGATGAGGATGATGAGGATGATGAGGAGGAGGAGGCGGAGGAGGGTGAGGATGATGATGATGATGATGATGATGATGATGATGATGATGATGATGATGATGATGATGATGATGATGATGATGATGATGATGATGATGATGATGATGAGGAGGAGGAGGAGGAGGAGGAGGAGGAGGAGGGGAGGAGGAGGAGGAGGGGCGGGGATGAGGAGGAGGAGGAGGAGGAGGAGGAGGAGCAGGAGAGGCGGAGGAGGAGGAGGAGGAGAAGGAGGAGGAGGAGGAGGAGGAGGAAGAAGAGGAGGAGGAGGAGCAGGAGGAGGAGGATGAGGAGGAGGAGGAGGAGGTGGAGGAAGTGGAGGAGGAGGAGAAGGAGGAGGAGGAGGAAGAAGACGAAACATAATAAGAAGCAGAGTAATGATAATACGAATACTTATGTCTTATACTAAGAACAATAGCAATAAGAAGGGAACTGTCAATACTACTAATGATAAGAAGAAGAAGGCTGATAATAATAAGAGGACGAAGGGGAATCATCATAATAATAATAAGAATGAGAAGAAACATACTAATAATCCAAAGAATAAGAAGAGCATCAATAACACTATTAATAATAAGATTAATACTAATAATAATATTAAGAAAATGATAATAAGAAGAATACTAATATAAAATGAATAATACGAATAATACTTATAATAATGATATGAAGAAGAATAAGAAGAATAATAATAAGAGGAGGAGGAGGGGAGGAGGAGGAGGAGGAGGAGGAGGAGGAGGAGGAGGAGGAGGAACAGGGGGAGGGGAGGGAGGAGGAGGAGGAGGAGGGAGGAGGAGGAGGAGGAGGAGGAGGGAGGAGGAGGAGGAGGAGGAGGAGGACACGCGCGAAGGTAGATCATGCCCTTCCGTCCACGCGCTTATGCAGGCCAGAGAGCGTGAGTCACGACAGACTCCCCAAGGTTAGACCATGACGCACCTCCTGCTTGGTTTGCGTGCAGGTGATGCGCGCGCGTGTGTCTCTGTGTGTAGGGCCCCCTCCTCGCATCCCAGTCTGCCTGCCTTGGCGCTTCAGCGTTTCCCCTGCGCACGCTTTTCTTTAACGCTCGGTCAATCGCCGAGTCTTTTGTCCCCGCTTCTACTAAAGCTTGGCAGTTCGTGGTCAATCCATTTTTTTCCCATGGACCTGTCGACTGCAGTAATTTTCGCAACGGAGGAAAAAGCTGTGTGTGTAGGCTTTCGAGGCAAAGCTCGTTTCGTTGTTGGCCTTGCACTCTCTGTTGCGCGCCTGAATCATAGTGATTCAGATGCGGTTTACTGGTTCGGGTCGGCCTGTCGGTTGGTTCGGTTCGGCCGGTTCGGTTCGCGTCCCGAGCAGGCTCGGTTCGGCTGGTTCGAGTTGGCCAGTTCGGCCGGTTCGGTTCGGCTGGTTCGGCTTGCGTCGCGGGCAGGGTCGGTTCGGCTGGTTCGGGTTGCGGGCCGGTTCGGTTCGGCCGATTCGGTTCCAGACCCGAGTCGCGGTTCTCAGTCTGGTTCGGGGTCATTATGATGATGTTCGCCAGCTTTGACCTTTAACAGGATATTTTTGGATTTTCACGAATCCCCACCAGCCCATCCAGAAATTATGTCCAAGGCAGTTGCTTGAAAGGGCGCAGGTAAGCATGTAGTGGAGCAAAAAGGCCAACGGTGGTGAAATCAGAGACATCGGAGGGCCTCTTGGGGCCATCTTGGGGAGCATGAAAAATCCGTGCGGAGCTCTGAGAGTTTCTGTTCACGCAGTTTGCTCTTCCTCTGCACCCCTTAGCCTTCCCCCTTCTCCTCGCGCTGGCTGGGGGGAAGGCAGGGGCGCGCGCGCGCGCGGAAAGCGCGCCGAGCGGCGCCGCTTCGAACATCAGCCCCTGCCCTAAGAAGTGTATGCGGGGCGACTTTGGCGGGCCGCTGGCTGGGGTGGGTGGGTGGGTGGGTGCAGGGGAAGGGGCGTTCTGTGGCGCGCGCGCGGGGAGAGCACGGCGGTGCGGCCTCGAACAGCATGTTACCTTGAGGAGTGTCGGGTGGGGGGGGGCGGCAAGCGGCGCTCCGCCCCCCCCTGGGAAAGGGAAGCCGGTTAGTGATCGTACCCCGAAGCCTAAACAAACATGCCAGAATCACTAAACTACGTCTGCCGTGGCTGGTGTTTCTTCGGGTGACGGCAGTTCTGGTTAGTGGAATGGGGCGGGGGGGCGTCCCCCGGGGTACCCATCACTAAACCAGGTCCCACTAAACCCCCCCTGCGCCCGCAGGGCCTGCACAGCGCCCGCTTCTCGCTCGGCGTCAGCTTCGAGCCCAGATTTGGAGGGGCTGCGGGCGCCGCCGGCGAGCGCCGCGGGTTCGGGGGTGAGAGAAGCGCCGTGGCTCGTCGCCGCCACAATTGCTCAGGGGCAACGTTGGGGAGGGATAGGATCAAAGGGGGGTTGCATCGAGAGGAGGAGGAGGAGGAGGAGGAGGAGGAGGAGGAGGAGGAGGAGGAGGAGGAGGAGGAGGAGGAGGAGGAGGAGGAGGAGGAGGAGGAGGAGGAGGAGGGAGGAGGAGAGGAGGAGGGGAGAGGAGGAGGAGGAGGAGGAGGAGGAGGAGGAGGAGGAGGAGGAGGAGGAGGAGAGGAGGAGGAGGAGGAGGCGGAGGAGGAGGAGGAGGCGGGTTCTCGGCGCACTTGGCCTTCGACGCGCCTCAACCTCTTGGGCGGTCGCGGCTTCCTCTTCTTATTACTATTCTTCCTCTTCTTCTTCTTCTTCATCTTCTTCTTCTTCTTCTTCGTCTTCTTCTTCTTCTTTTTCCCCCCCCTTTCGCGCGCGGCGCGCCCCGGGGCAGGGCAAATGGCGTGGCCTGGGGCGCCCAGCCACTTCCAGGGCCTGCAGAGGCCCCCCCCCGCTGCCGCCCCTGGGCCGCGCCGGCGCGCCCCGCTGCCGCCGTTTCGCCCCGCGGCGAGCGGTGGTCCCTCTCCTCCCCTCCCTCTGCTCCCTCCCCCTCCTCCTCCTCCTCCTCCTACTCCTCCTCCTCATTCTCCTCTTTCTCTTCCTCCTCCTCTTCCTCCTATTCCTCCATTACTACCATAGAACGCGCGAGGCGTGCAGGGACTCATGCACCAAATTGGAGGTCCGCCTCCTCATCTTCCTCCTCCTCCTCCCCCCTCTTCCCCGCCCCCCCCCTTAAAGGCAGACGCAGATGTTCCTTCTCCTCCTCCTCCTCCTCCGGTTCCTCCTCCTCCTCCCTCCTCGCTCCTTCTCCCTTCGTTTTCTCCTTCTCCGCCTTTCCTCCTCCTCCTCCTCTTCCTGCTCCTTCTCCTCCCTCGTCCCTCGTTTCTCGTTTCGCGGCTCGGGCGCCCAGGCGGT